TGGTTCTATATAGTACTTCTGAAACTTCTCGGTGTCAGCCCTTGTCAGTAATACTCCACAACAAAACATATTGAAACTCATTGGTATACAAAAATAAGCATTTATTCTCATTCCTGCTAGAGTGGATCCTGTTTGAGCCTGAAAGTTGGCAGTGGTTGGCTGACCTAGACAGGATTTAACTGTGGTTATCTGCAAGTTGTAAGCTGCTCCACATGCCTCTCATTCTCCTTGAACCTGTTTAGCAAGTACATATGAATTTTCATCTTCTTTAGATCATACTATTCTCTCTGACTATAATTTTTTTTCTCAAACCTTTTGAAATCCTTTTCATACACTTCATTCCTCAATTTTACTTTGAACATCTTCATATATATATATATATACACACACACACACACACACACACACACACACACACACACACACACACACACACATATATACACATACACACACACAGATATATACACACACGAACATTGAAAGACAAAATAGGTGGCTATAGGTCCTCCATTCTAGATTCAGCAATTGTTAACATGCTGCCACATTTGTTTTATGTATGTTCATGTATATACTTTTTTATTGAATCAATTGAAAGTAAAATCCTGTTATTACCCTTTAACACTGTAGTATTTATCTTCTTGGACATTTCCTTCATAGCAACATTTTTATTATTTTCCTAAAGGAAATTAGCTGTAATTTTATAATACCTTCTATCTAGGCATATTCCAGTTTTTTGTTATTCAAAAAATATTTTTTATATTGCTGCTTTTTTAAAAAAGCTAGAGTACAGTCAGATTTCTTTCTTTTTTTGTATTTATTGAGTCAGCTAGTCTTTTTCTGTGTTTCTCTTTATTCAGGACTCTATTTTCATTCAACAGTGCTTTGTAGTTTTCAGAGATCTTACGTATCTTTTGTTGAAGTTATTACTAAATATATTGTTTTTGATGCTATTAGTGATAATTAAATTTTTCTAATTTTTCAGTTGTTTGTTGCTAGCATGGAGAAATTTACATTGTGTGTTCACCTTAAACTCTGAGATCCTGATAAGTTATTAGTTCCAGAATGCTTTTATATATTCATTTGGATTTTTTGGTATATAATCATGTTATTTTCTTACTTTATTGACTAAGACTTCCTGTACAATTTTGAATATAAATGGGTTTGATGGACATCCTTGTCTTGTTCCTATTCTTGGGGGGGGGGGAGGAAACGCTAAATATTTTACCAGTAAGTATGATGTTAGCTGTAGGATTTTTGATTTTGTTTTTTGTGAGTTTTATCTGTTTGAAGAAACTTCCTGGTTTGCTGAGAGTATCTGTTATGAAGGGGAATTGAACTTTATTTTATGCTTTTGACTGAATCTATTGAAGGTGAAAATGATTTTTTTCCCTAAAGTGTAGTAAAAATTCATTGATATTTGAATGTTATGCCAATCTTGCATTCCTGGGATAAAGGCTAGTTTGGCATTACAATACTTTCCATGTATTATTGGATTTAATTTGCTAATACTTTGTTGAGGGTTTATATTCATGAGGATTTTTGCTTTAGTAATTTTTGTTTTTCATATATGTCATCAGTTTTTAGTATCAAGGTTATTCTGTGTATATAAAATGAATTAAGAAATGGTCCCCCTCTGTCTACTTTTTGAGTTTAAGGTGGGCATTATTTCTACCATAAATATTTGCTAGAATTCATTAGTGAAACCATCTTAGCCTGATATTTTTGTGGAAATTAAAACAGTTCTTCCAAAAAAAAAAATAGTAAGATTCAGGTGTTTTTTTTTTTTTTTTTTTTTCCCTTGAGTAAATTTTGGTAGTATCTATGTGGTAATGCCCCTTCTTTCATTCCTGATAGTGGTGATTTGATTTTTCTTTCTTTTTTTTCCCCTTGATTAGTCTAGATAGAGAAAAACTTAACAGTTTTGTTGATCTTTGCATACAATGGGTTTTCTTCACTAATTTTTCTCTAGCTTTTTTGTTTTGTCCTTCATTGATTTCTGCATCTTTATTTCCTTTCCTGTACTGCATTTATCTTTAAGTTGATCATCCCTTTTTAGGTTTTTAAAGTAGAAACTTAGATCATTGACTTTAGATCTTCTTTTATATAATGTGATAATTTAATGCTATAAATTTTCTTATGTTCTGTTTGACCAGCATCCTGCAAATTTTGATTTTTTTTGCGTATTATTTGGTCTAAGTTTGACATATTTTACTAAAGTCCCTGTCTTGTAGTTTCAGCAGCTGAGTCATCTCTGAGTCTGATTCTGTTGATTGCTTTGTCTTTAAACATTTTATGTGTGGTTTTTCTTTGTTTTTGATTTATTTATTTGCTTTTTGAAATGTCTCATAATTTTTGGTTGTTAGAGACTGAAGTAAATAGTTTTAAAGTCTGTCAATGAATATACCTCTTCTCCTGTGTGACTGTTAATGTGGGGCTTTAAATTAGTCCGGACAGGTGTTAAACTGCAGTAAGTTTTTAGCTTGCTTATAGTTACCTTTATTGTACCAGAAGTCTCAAATTTCTGTTGTGATTGGGACAGCAGTGAAGTGTCAACCATTTTTCTTCAGTGTTTGTGCTCTACTCTGCATGCCTGCTCTTTAAGAGGGATTTACCTTCTCACTGTTGCCTCTCCTCAGTGGTCCACTAGTATTACTAGTTTCTCATTCATTTCAAGGTTGGTAAAGGAGAGAGCACAGGAAAGGTTCTTTATTATCATGACATATGGCCTCAGTCTTAGATAGATCATGTGTGCCTGAACCTCAGGGGTGGTGCTTTCTATTCTTTCCCCATCTTCCCCACCCTCCATTTCCCCAGTAGTGGTACTCAGGGCCTACTGATAACAAGATTCTGGGCTCAGGACTATTCTTTTCCCTCTTCCTCTCATGGATTGACAGTTTTCCCTCCTCCAGGAAAAAAGTATGGAGTTACTGCTCCTTCTCCAGTTGCTTATAGTTTTTGCTTTCTACCTGAGTAGAATCATGGAAGCAGGCTCTGTTTCTTGCTTACAGCGACAGCTAATTCTTGCACCACCATTTCTGACAATTTCAGCTCATGTCTTCTTCATGGCCTGTATGACAATGTTCTTGTCCTCTTGCTCTGCCATGGGAGACCCATATCAGACATCCCATTTCTCTTTGGAAGTATTTGTCCATCCTTGGAATTCAGGACACTTGATTACCTTGTGACTTAAGCCCTCTGATGGAAATGCTTGGGGGTAATTTTAAAGTGTTTTGTTTGTCAATGTTATTAGGGTTTTCCAATTACCTTTTTGTTACTGACTTTTAGTTTAATTCTAATTGTGGTCAAAGATCACACATTGTATATTTTGGATTCTTTAATTGTGTTTATTCAGACTTGTTTATGATCCAGATATGGTCTATTTTATTTATATTCCACATGTGTTATGGGGTGGAATGTCTGTGACAGTGATACCAACTTGGTTGAAATTGTTGTTCAAATATATTTATTGATTTTCTCTATTTAAAAAAAATTAGTTATCAAAAATAGAATGTTCAGATTTCCAACTATGATGGCAGCCCTCTCAAGTGCCCTCATGTACTTTAAAATACTGTTTTGAAGGTTATTATAATTTCTTGATAAGTCAATCCCTTTATCATTATGAAATGAGTGTTTTCCCTTCGAAAATGCTGGTCTTAAAGTCTAATCTAAGAGTAGCCTTAGTTGCTACTTTATTCTGAGGTGATTTGGTTCTTCCCTCCCCCCATCCTGTGTAAGAGTTGACCAAAGATGAGGGAATTTGCATACTGATTTTGGGGCTTCACTGCCTGGAAGCCCCAGGCAGTGGGGCTTATGATGTTTTTCTTCATCGCTGGCTACATTGGTAGTCCCAAACTTTGACCTGATTTCTCTGTCTGGTAAGATTGTTGTTTTCTGCTCAATCTGTGCCCCTCTGCCTCATGTTGATTTGGAAATACTCCCATGGGAAAAATATGTAGCTCTCCATTTGCTCTCTTTCAAAAATTGTGTCTGTTCCTGCTTCTGGTTGATGCCCAGCAATTTAAAATAACTATATATATATATATATATATATATATATATGATACAGGTTTTATAATTGTTATTGTTTGGAGGATTAATTTGATACAAGGTACTCTGCATATCCACCTCTAGAACCCCTTTTGTTTTTCCCCACCTTTTTATCCCTGTTATCTTACCTTTCTGGAGAGTCCTGACTGGCCAGACTTCCTGTAAAATCCTTATAATCAGAATATTTGTCTGATTATTCCCTGAAGATGATGTTTCACTTTCTTTCTCTATACCTTGTATTTCTTTGTAAATTGGAATTTAGATCGAGACACGGTTAGAGTCACATTAAAGTTTTAGTTTTTTGTTTCATAGATTACATCTGTACTTCCTGTTACGTTATATCTGCAGAAGATATTATTTCATTATTCTAGTATCGGTAGTAGTTTGATCACTTAGTTATGGTAGTGCTTTCCACTGTAAAGATTTGTTTTCTTGTTGGTAGTTAGTCTTTTTAAAGTGGTAATTTGTATTCTTTTCCACATCTACCAAAATGTCATCTCTTAGCTTATTCTAATCAGATGCCAGTCCAGAGTGACATTTAATAGCATTGTCATTCTTATTTCTCATTCCTCAACCAAAGGGTCTTTATAATTTCTAGTGCATGCATCTGTGTTTTTATATATAGATTGCCTATACATTAGTGGTACATGTTGTATAGTGGTATCCCTCTCCCTCCTCCTCCCCTACATTAGTGGTCATGTTGTATGGTGGTTATATAAATATTTCTCTTTTTTACTGGATTTTGAGGTATTGACATCACATCTTAAAAATCTTCATGTTTCTCATAGCACTTAACTAAAATTTGCACATAGTAGGCACTCGGTAAACTATTTTTTCTATGAAGAGAAAATTAGCTAAGGAATCAAGTAATTTTGTATTTAAATATTTCTCAGTATCCATCTTAGGATTTGATAAAATTTAATGTTAATTGCATTTTAATTTTTTTGTAGGTAAATGAGAAAACAGGACAGATTATACAGTATGATAAATTTTATATACATGAAGTACAAGAATTGATAGACATAAGGAATGATTATATCAACTGGGTCCAACAACAAGCCTATGGAATGGTAGGTTTCCTATTGTAATTCATTTTGTCATTTTTATGGATTGTTTGTTCTAATGCTAAAGAAACACTAATTTTTTTCAGAGTTAACTTCTGAATAAAAACACATTGCATGGCAGAGGAGTAGTTATATATTTTGCATTATTTATAAGTAAACATTCTATTCTTATGCCAAAGCCAGACCAAATAAATATATTATACTTTCTGAAAGAAAGCTGCAAATGTTAGATGGATTTTTGACTTTCATTACTTTTTTTATCTGTTTGCCTGATGTTGAAAATATTGGAGTCACTGATACTGAAATACTAAGCATGTATTACTATTGTGATATCAGTATTTGAGAACTACCAGAAGACAGCCCTAACACAATTGATTCTATTTTTTATTTTTCCCCTTTTTGCTCTTCATTTGTTCAAGATTTTTACCCAGTATTCACATGTGTCCATACTTCTTTCTTTGTGGCTATTAATTAGAAACAATGTCGCATTAAAATAGCAATATAGTCTCATATAACTTATATTAGGCACACAAGATTTAATAGATAGATAAGTAACTGGGTATAAAATAATCAGGTTTAATACTATGATTTGCTAACTATTATATACTTCAGGCCATATTTTCTACCCCTCAGGTAGCTATTTTTATTTTTTATATTTTTATTTTTATTTTTTACATCATTGTTCATTTTTAAACCATATTTGCTTTTCCCCACCCCCTCAAATGTAGTCCCCATAGAGTTTCCTTCACCAGTGCACCATGCACCATCACCTCAGTCCTCTGTGCTCCTCCTTCCCTCCCTCCCTCTGATCCCTCTCCTTCCTCCTCCCCTGCAGTATGTCTCTGATTTATAATTGTCTGGTTTTGCTTTGTTGTGTTTTGTACTGTTATTATTTTTTTACACTGATGTCTTAATGGGTTCCCCTATATTCCTGCTATAAGTGAAACCATGTGATATTTTTCTTTTTCCTTCCAGCTTATTTCACTGAGCATAATTACTTCTAGTTCTATCCATGTTGTTGCAAATGGCATGAGTTTCTCTTTTTTGATTGCTGAATAATATTCCATTGTGTATATATGCCACATCTTCTTGATCCAGTCATCTGTTTGGGGGCATTTGGTTGTTTCCAGGTTTTACCTATTGTAAATAGTGTTGCAATAAACATAGGGATACAGGTGTTCTTTTGAATCACTGTTTTTGTGTCCTTTGGGTAGATCTCTAGTAGTGAAATTGCTGGGTCGTATGGTAGCTCCATTTATAGTAGACTGAGGAACCTCCAGAGAGCTTTCCATAGTAGTTGGACCGGTTTGCACCCCCACCAGCAATGTAGGAGAGTTCCTTTTTCACCACATCCTCACCACCATTTGTTGTTGCTTATTTTTTTTGATATGTGCCATTCTTAACGGTGTAAGGTAGTATCTCAATGTGGTTTTAACTTGCATTTCCCTGATTATACGGGATGTTGAACATTTTTTCATATGCCTGCTGGTCATTTGCATTTCCTCTTTGGAGAAATGTCTTTTAAGTTCTTCTGCCCATTTCTTGACTAGATTGTTTATTTTGTTTACCAGTTAAGTAAAGTAGCAGGATGCAAAATCAACACACAAAAATCGGTAGCCTTCCTGTACACAAACAATCATTCTGAAGAAGAAGAAATCAAGAATACCATCCCTTTTATAATTGAAACAAAATAAATCAAATACTTGGGACTAAACCTAACAAAAAAGGTGAAAGACCTATACAAAGAAAATTATGAAACACTGTTAAAAGAAATAGAAGAAGACAAAGAAATGGGAAGACATCCCCTGCTCATGGATGGGAAGAATTAACATTATTAAAATATCCATCCAACCAAAAGCATTTTAAACAGTATATATATATATATATATATATATGTATGTAATGGTTGTAGTAGGGTAAGTAACCTTCCATTCCTTTTAGAGCACCATGCCCTTGTTGTTAGACATTCTGTTATTCATCAGTTCCACCAAAATTGTCTGGAATATATCTAATAGACACTATGAAAGTGGTTATTTTTGAATATTTTTAGACATAGGCAGACATATTAGCTAATACCATGCACAGTATTAAGAGCTAAAATAAGAATGTACTAAAGACTGGTTTGTTTCTTCTCAAACCTGGAGAAGGAACTGATTATACAAGTCTATGACACCAACAGAATACCAGGTTACTTAAATGCAGTGAAACCTACACCAAGATATATGGTAATGAAATGATCAATAACTCAAGACGAAGACTATTGAAAGCAGCTCAGGGAAGAAGTGGGTAACTTATAAAGGTATTCCCATCAGGATTTCTTAAGACTTCTCAGCAGAAACTGTATGAAACAGGGGAGAATAAAATGGCTTATTCAAAACACTTCAATTTAAAACTGCCAACCAAGAATCCTATGACCTGCAAGACTCTCTTTCAAATATGGGGAAATAAAAAGCCTTCCAGACAAATAATAACTGAAGGAATTTTCCAACACCAGACCTCCTCTACAGGAGTTATTGAAAAGGAACGCTTCTATCTAAATTGGAAAGAAGAAAGTCCACAAATAATTGAACAAGGAAATAAATAGAACCAGAAAAATACTGAAAAAATGCCAGTAGCAAGCCCTCATATATCAATAATCGCCCTTAATGTAAAATGAATTGAATACACCAATTAAGAGACACAGTGAGTGGATGGATTAGGAAAAAAAATATCCACGTAGCATGTGCTGCTTACAAGAGACTCACTTAAGTTATAAAGACAAACAGACTCAAAGTTATGGGATAGAAACTGGCTTTACATGCCAATGGAAAATTTAAAAAGGAAGAAACACTTTACTTACCTCAAATAAAATAGACTTCCAGTCAAAAAAATAGCAAGAGGCAAAGATAAACATTATATAATAAAGGACTCAATACCACAGGAAGGCTTAATTCTCAGCATATATGCATCTAAAAGAACAACACCTAAATATATATAAAGCAAATTTTAACAAGCTAAAGAAAGTCATTGGCACAACACATTTAACCAAAGGAAATAAAAGACTACACTGAAAATTATGAGAGGTTGGTGAAAATAGTAGAAGACACAAAGGTATGGAAAGGTATTCCATGCTCATGGAAGAATCAATATCAATAAATGCCTATATTATCTAAAGCAATATACAGGGTCAATACAATTTCTATTAAAAAGCCAACCACATTCTTCACAGAAATAGAACTAAAAATCAAGAACACAAATACCAAAAACATTCATGAGAAAAGGAGGTAACATTCTCCCCAACATCAAGCTATACTGCAAAGCAATAGCACTTAAAATAATTTGGTATTGGAATAAAAACAGTTGTACAAATCAGTGAATCATAATTGACAGCCCAGAAATAAAACCACATGCATCTGGACAACTAATTTACAACAGAAGAGCCAAGAGCTTATAGTGGAGCAAATAAATTTTCTTCAATAGATGATGTTGGAATAACTGAAGTCACGTGCAAAAGAATGAAACTAGACCAGTTTACACACAAAAAGACCTCAAAATGAATTAAAGACTCAGGTACAAAACCTGAAACCATAAAAGAGATCTAAAAAATAGGCTATATGCACCTTGAAATCAGCCTTGGAGGTGTGTTTGGGGACGTCACTCCAATGGCAAGGTAAACACAGCAGAAACAAGTGGGATTACATCAGACTAAAAAGTTTCTGGCAGATAACAAAATGTGCATCAAAACGTAAACATATCCAATGAAGCAGCTATTTGTACATCATATGTCCAACCAGGCATTAATATCCAAAATATACAAAGAACTAATAAAACTATACAATTAAAAAAAGCCTGATTGTGGCGTTCTCGACCACCAGACCTGATTTAAAAATGGGCAGAGGATATGAATAGACACTTCTCCAGTGGAAACACAGGTGCATAAAAAGTTGATTGTCACCTCTTATTAGAGAAATGCAAATCAAAAGAACAATGTCACTTGCACCTATGAAAATGATTATTATATATAAGATGAAAAGTAACAACTGTTGGAGAGAGTGAAGAGAAAAGGAAATGCTTCTACAGTATTGGTAAAAATATTAAGTGATATAGCTATTATGGAAAGCAGTATGGAGATTCCTCAAAAAATTAAAAATAGAAATTTCACATTTTCCAGATATCCCACTTCTGGATATTTACCCAAAAGATAACAAATATTAATTCAAAGAGATGGATGCACCTTCACATTTATTGAAGCATTCATTTGCAGTAGCCTAGAGCTGAAAACAACATAAGTACCCGCTGACTAACAAGTGGATAAAGAAGATGTGGTATATATACACAATGAAATACTATGCAGCTATTTAAAAAGATGAAGTCCTACTATTTGCACCAAAATTAATGGACCCAGAAACTATTATGCTTAGTGAAATAAGTCACACAGAGCAAGAGATATCCCTGTGCTTTCACTTGTATTATGGCATATAGAGAAACCAGATGTGTTTAATAAGACAAAAATAAACTTTTGGACTAGGGGACCAATTAGTGGTTACCACAAGGGAATTGGGAGCGAAGATGGGTAAATCCAGACAAAGGGGACCATAGTATCGAGGATAGAATTGAATGTTTAGCAGTGAACTTATTAACAGCATGTAGACACACTGATGCAAATCTGAAGCATATGATTTTACAATGCAGTTACTTCAATGTACTATTAGGATGTGGAACTTGGGTTTTATCTGAAGTGTTATGATAAGCCATTGGAGGGAAGTAAGCAGGGGAAATATACGTGATTTATATTTTTAAATGATTGTTTTGTTGGTTATATGGAGAATGGAGTGAGGAGAATAGAGCAAAAGTAAGAGAGGGAGACTAGTTAGAAGACCATTTTAGTAGATTTATGGAGGAAAATGATGGGTTTGACTACATAATAGTTGTATAGATGAAAGAGGGAAATGGACTTGGAATATCTTTTGAAGGTAAAAGGGACAGGAATTGCTCATGGTTAGATACTGATTAGGTAAGGAAAGGAG